CACTCGGCTGGGGAAGCTGCTTTCTTGAAGTGACAGCATCCTTTCCTGAAGACTGTTGATTCTGGTTGCCACCCAGCAGCTTCCGGTTGTGGTAAGTGGTCAAGAGTAATGGTGTGTGTGTGCGTGTGTGTGTGTGTGTGTGTGTGTGTGTGTGTGTGTGCGCGCGCACGTATGTGTGCGTATTTCTTTTTTTTTTTTTGTGCTTTTTTTCTGGGAGTTGAACTTTTCTAGTATGGTCTCCTAGAGACTTAGTTTGTTTTCTGTAATTACTAGAGCTTTCAGTCCAGCGCTGCATTTGCGTGGGTGTGCGTACTCAGTGGATACTTGTTTGAGCAATCTGCATTGTTGGGAAAGCCCCTTTCTCGGGAAGAAAGTTAGATCCAGGTTGAGGTGAGTAGGTGGGGGACCATTCCTTGACTAAGGAGATCAAGAGGAGTTTGCTCCGGACTTACTGACATTTTCATTCTTCCAAATTCTTGTTTTGGTTTGCTGTTTCCATTCTTTATAGTTGAGCTTTAGTAAATATGTGTTGTTTGCCTTGTCCTAAAATAATTTTGGGGGAAGTTAGTTGAGGATAGGAGATAGGGCAGTTTTTCATTGTACTTGAGATTCAGATTTTCATTCTGCGAGTGGCGTGTCTCAAATGCTGAATGGGAGCAGAATAAAGAGCATCTTGGTTTTAGAGTGTTGAGCAGCAGGTTTCTTCTGCACAGCCTGAGGTCCCGTTTATTCTGTGGTTAATTCATGCTTCAGATGTATGGCTCCCACTGGCTTGTGTTTCTGAGGCTCGAGGGATGGATTTTCAGTGCTAAGGTTTGGTTGACTAGAAAATTTAATCCTTTGGCTGTTTTGTTCATAGGCATGAGAGAGTTTCAGGTCTCAGGTTAACGACAGCCACTTGAAGAAGAAATGGTGAGAAATGTTATTTGGGGATTGAAGTGTTTCGAGAAAAGACTGAGGAAACAGATGGGTTTGTGTGAGGTGCAGATGCCTGTGCCTACAAACTAGCCCTTTTCTCTGATGTGGCTGCGTGTCAGCCTGCACTGGAGATGAAAATTCAGGAGGACTTTGCTCAGCCTTTATTTATTAATGGATTTCGTATTGTTTGATACTGTATAAATGCATCTTTAAAAACAGACCGAATGATATTTTGTGCCCTTGGGAGATGGTTTGTAAGTGAACACAGAAGTGTTTTGTTCATGCACAATCACACAGAAATTTTTGTTACTAGACAATACTTGAAATAAGATGTCTTTCCCTCTCCTTTCTTCTTTTACTTCTCTCTCTCTCTCTCTCAATCTCTCTCTCTCTCTCTCTCTCTCTCTCTCTCTCTCTCTCTCTCTC